AGAAGACAATCACCATGAGGATTCCATTCCACTTCATGAGCTTTTAAACTCGAGAGGTATACTGTGTATATGAAGACGTTCGGGATAGCCGTCGGATGACGTCAGTTTGACACTTGGCAAATCAACCTTCACATGGGTGTACGTTCTTTGCTTCACGACGCATTCTTTATTCGGAGAGTAGCTACCATGGGCAAACTCAGTTCTTGGAAACGTTTCGCCGTTTAAATCGGTCCTTCCACGTTTTGCTTGTCCCATCTGCTGTCTAGATGTCATCAAAGCATGACCTAATTCAGAAACCCACAAACTAAACATATCGATATCCACGGAGGATTCCCATGGGAATATCAAAAGCCAAACAGTACAGCGAACAAGCTTGTTTTCGTAACTTCGTCTTCAGGCGTTTACAGTTGTGTGCGTATTTATATCTAATGTAGAAATGAATGTGATTGTACCATAGAGGTTATGTATGAAAATGCAACAACATATATACAGTTTAATCAGAACGAGTGGATAAAATGGGGAGGGAGGGTCAATTCTGGAATTTTCGGTGACCTTTTTTCATGTGCCGTTTGTCACGCTATTTTGCATCATCACGATACGACTGAGGTCATGGTTCGAGCCATCACGTAGGTTTGGTTGGGGCCAAGGTAGCCGAAGTGCGGCAACCATCTTCTTGTGTTTGCACAGTGGTGGGTTAATGATTTTGATTGCTACAGCCTCCGCTGTTGCCAAGTGATGTTTCCGAATTTGCTTTGATTTGTTTTGGGGTACTTTGTAGATGACTTTTAATGCGTCGTTGTCTGACTGATGTCCGGTATCAGCGAGGTGGCTCATAATCGCACTGGTTATTGTTTTCTTGCAATCCGTTTTAAGCCAAGCCGGTTTATGTTCTCTGATCCTTTGGGAGAGCTGCCTCATCGTTCGTCCTACACAAATTACCGAACACATACAAGTGAAAGAATAAGTAATCATAGATGAGTGGGGGATGAAGAGCTTATCCTTGCAGTTTGTGCAGAGCTGAGGCCGGCTTGAAAACATCAAACGTAGAGAGGTGGCTGGAAATGTTCGTGTAACAGCTTTCTCCAGACGTCTTCTAAGTATATCACCACTCGAATCTCCTTTGAACGGGAGCTGCAAAAATAGTTCTTTCTTTTTGGCCGTGCTTGCTTTAGGCATTGTGGGCTTTTCTATGTGATTCTTCTAGATGAACGGGTATACGTTATTAAGGAGTGTGCATTTGATGAATCTAAGTTCTTCCTCCACTAGATCCGTGGAGTAAATCATTTGAGTTCTGAAGGCGAGACATTGGACCAAGTTTCGTTTAAATATGATTGGGACGAANTGGGACGAAACTTTGAAAATGGATGCATTTGCCGTTCCGTGTTGTCATTCGAAGAATAGAACGGAATAACTTTCCACAGGGTCCCTTCTTCAGGTTGATGTCGAGAAAGTGGAATGTATTCTTCTTTTCCGTTTCTATCGTAAAGTTGATTGACGGATGAGCTCGATCCAATATTATGTTCGGTAAAATAGTTTTATCGCAAAGGATAAAAATATCGTCGACATACTGGAAGTATAGCGGGAATGGATATATGATGTCTCGTAGTTGTTTGTTTTTCAGTTTGGCTACGAAAACATCTGCAAAAGTTGGGCCAAATGGGGAACCCATGGCTACACCGTCCGTCTTTCTGTAGATTGTACCATCAAAAAAATTGGATATTATATGTATATCGTAAAAATAGTTACTTCAAATTTGTAGTTGTGATTCCAATTTGTATGTTTTCCTCATTGGTGTACTGGTAAAGGTAAGACACCGTCTTGAATAGTGGCACATTTGTAAAAAGTGATTGTATATCTAATTAGCTCATAGTCAAAGCTTTGACGTCCAATTCCCAAATTTGGTGTAAAACTTGGAAAGCATCTTTCAGGCTATGCCTGCATATTTTCTTCCTGACCGGATCCAGGATTTTTATCAGCCATCCAGCAGTCGAATGAAAAGGTGGAATATACATATCCAGAACTGGTCTTGAAGGCATTACAGCGTTGTAAACTTTCAGTAGGCCATAAAGTCAGGGGATATGAGACCCGATTGGTTTTAGTTTTTCGTGATCAGATCTTCCAAAGCTCAAATAACTATTGAGTTTCTACAGCTCCATAGGGTCTTTGCATTCTCTTAATTCACGGACGATTCCCATAAGAATATCAAAAGCCAAACAGTAAAGCGCTCGCACCAGACCAGATGCGAGGATGATCGGGTCAAGACGGGCAGCATTGTACGTCAACCAAATCGCAATGGAGTAATGCGCAGTCGAAATCGATACCAATCCCAAAACAAAACACGATTGATTTGTAGTGTTGTACGGTACTGAATCAGGAAAATTATTGCAAAATGTACTATAAAGCAAATCTCAAAATTGCGACCAAAAGCACTCAAGGAAGCGAGAGTCAAATATGATATCCAGAGAGAGCCAACAAGTCGCTCACGTTCTCTGACGACGCCAAATTGAAATGTAGCGGGCATCAAATCAACAGATAAAGAATAATGTGGAGTGTTTGTGATTGAGCAGAGTCGATGGAGGAGCAACATACGGATAGATTTATGTCACACAGAATCATCGTAGGTTTGGAAAGATCCTCAAAGAAATCAACATGACGAACAGGTACCGACTTTAGTCAGTTGGCCTTCCGTTAGTCTACCGAGTCTCGCGGAGATAAACAACACTCTGGAATTACCGTCCAGCAATCGTGGTGAAGAAGAAGACAGACGCTACTTTTAAATAGTGTCTGAATGAGCCCCTGAAAGGGATATGGAGGAACAAACACTTGTGATCGGACCTTCGACCTGGTGGTGATGGGGCTTACACGAGCACCCTGCCCTCTGCCTCCAATCCTGAAGACTAAAATACAGGCATCGCTTATCTGCTTCCTATCTGATCAAGTTCAGTTTGTACAGAACAGAAAATGGCCACAACTGATCGAGCGGCCAGAATTCCTTCGGTGGTATGCGGTCAAGTATGGCACCCACCACTGCGAAAAGGTTTTCGTAAATTCCTGGTTGAAAAAAGGAAGAAAAGGGAAAGACACTTCCAAGGCGGAGATGGTTGTGCGTGAGCAGGACTAGCGGCTGATGCCAAATGAGTGTCCAGTTCCTTGCGCCACCAAATTGCAGTGTTCTCGATGTGCTTCGACAGTTTCTGAATTCCTGGCCTCATGTAGAGGGTTCTCTTCAGTAAGATCCAGTAGAGACCAATTGAAGCTTATCTGGAAGGGACTGGGATGGGAAGGAAGCATGAAGGAGACAGGCTCGAGTCACCTCAGAGTACCTTGACTGCCATGCATCAGTTTTTTCACCTTGTGCTAAATTGGATTATTCTATTGTGGTTTCGTGCATTCAACTGAATTTATTCCATCAGGTATATTTGAGGAAATCGAGGCTTCCAAGAACATGTGCGTATTTTGCATCAGGATTCTTGGTTCCAGACCCAAAGGGCTCCGTCGTGTTAGGTGTGATGAATGGCTGCATCTAAAATGCACCCAAATAGACGCAAATAAATACGAATGGCTAGAGAAATGCCTCTCTCGATTCCTGAAGATCGTGTGCTGCAGGTGCACGGCTATTTCTTCCAAGGAGGATGAATCTCCACTTTCAAAACCATAACGCCGGCTACTGTGGTGAAAGTGGCCCCTTCGTATGCAGATCTCATTTCCACTCCACTTACGAAAGCAGTTCCTGCAGCT